CATTAAAAAGGGGATAGAGAATAAGACTGAGAATATATTATTGCCCTTATATAAATCGATGGTATGCCCACATCCCGAATACTGCATACAGATGTGGTGGTCTCATCTCAAAAAAGATATACTGGCACTAGAAAAGGTTCAGAAAAGGGCAACTAAAATGATTAGGGGTTTGGAACGGGTTCCATATGAGGAGAGATTAAAGAGGCTAGGACTCTTCAGCTTGGAAAAGAGGAGACTAAGGGGGGATATGATAGAGGTATATAAAATCATGAGTGATGTGGAGAAAGTGGATAAGGAAAAGTTATTTACTTATTCCCATAATACAAGAACTAGGGGTCACAAAATGAAGTTAACAGGCAGCAGATTTAAAACAAATACAAGGAAGTTCTTCTTCCCGCAGCGCACAGTCAACTTGTGGAACTCCTTACCTGAGGAGGTTGTGAAGGCTAGGACTATAACAGCGTTTAAAAGAGAACTGGATAAATTCATGGTGGTTAAGTCCATTAATGGCTATTAGCCACGATGGGTAAGGAATGGTGTCCCTAGCCTCTGTTTGTCAGAGGATGGAGATGGATAGCAGGAGAGAGATCACTTGATCATTGCCTGTTAGGTTCACTCCCTCTGGGGCACCTGGCATTGGCCACTGTCGGTAGACAGGATACTGGGCTAGATGGACCTTTGGTCTGACCCGGTACGGCCGTTCTTATGTTCTTAAGGCTGTTTATTATTTGTTTTTCACAATTTGGGGGTCACAGTAAATCTTTATCTACTCTCAAATTCCCCACCAAAAACTACTTCCTTCCCTCATTTCCCTTATCTACACTAGGCAGGAAAAGTGTGATCTTTTTTTTTATTTTTGGCATGCATAAGAAAACCCCTCAGCAAGATTAATTTTTAAAATATGTTAATCTGTAGGGAGCCCATGATATCAGCTGATAATTTCTGTAAATGTTTACAAAGCAAATGGACACCCACCTCAAGTTTAACGTAATAAACTATGAACAAGTTCCTCTGATCCTTCTGAACTTTGGGATGCAGAGCCTCAAAAATCTGTAAACAGTTTCTTTGGACTACTCTCTTTACTCTGGTCTTATGCCTGCAAACGGTCTCAGAGTGCAGCAATTTAAACCTCAATCCTTCATTGTTGGCCCATCTGGCACCTTCTATAAAGGACCAGACTTTTGGGGGGAGAGCAGGAAGCACAATGTTTTCCTTTTATAAGATCTTTATGTTAATTAAGACATTTTTAGTTCTTCAGTGTTTTCCTGTTCTTCTACAGGTAAACCCTGATTCTCCAGATCTTGAATTTATCCAAATTTGAACTAAAATCAAAAACTATATTTTACACTTGTTGCAAGTGTCTGCTGAGACCTTTGTAATACTGATGTTTATTTTTTACTTAAAACCCAAGGAAAAAAACCTATGCAACAAGAGAAGTTATTTTCCAAATAAAAACACACAGATGCTTCTTATCAAGTTTATTGCTATTAGACACCTCAACATCACCTTCCACCTTCTGATTCTTTTCCTACCATCTTAAATCACACTTTATTCTTTAGACCACATGCATGTGCAATAGAGCAGACTAGCAGACATGAAATTACTTACTATCTACTAAATTCTCTCCTGCTATTAAAACATGGCCCACACATCTGGGCTTCAGAGCACTCCATAATTTTTATTGCCAGACTCTGGAGATGATCCTGTGCATTATTATTCTAAAGCCTATCAGTAGTGAGCTCAGTAACTCTGAAACTAATATTACCCTTCACAGTGACGGCAGCAAAATAACTGTTGGATTGGAAGAAGGAACTGTGGTATCGGGAGACCAAGTACAGAATATGTTTACGAAAACATTTACATTGCCATTCATAAATAGGCAAGACAGAAGCAATACAAAAATATTCGACTCTATGTCTGACTCTAAAAGTAAATATTTCGGAAAAAAATTTAAGATTGTAAAATAGGGAGACAGTAGCAGACGATTCATACTCAGTGCATAGACTCATAAGCAACAGTATATGTTCTTAAAAAATCCTCCCACTAAATCCATGAAACAGTGAGTTTAACTTTTAGCATTTTGCCCTTCAGAATAAATGTAATTCCTTATGAAGTTTGTGCTAAGATACCAACCACAACACCACATTATGTGAGCCCTAAAGATGCTGTAGAACTGTTTATCTTAGAACAGAAGAGACTACCAACACATTCATTTTCGTTACGTGCTCATATACTTCATTGATGGGTGTCTTATAAAAAAAACCCAACAGGTAGAATTGTTTTCTTGTTCCCAGATGGTCTGCAGGCAAGTGCTGCTGTTTGCATATTGTGAGAAGTTGCCATTATTGTTAGTGCTTTCAAACTCATAAATATAGCAAAAATTGTATTTAGACAATATTTCCCATTTTACAGTATTTAGAGACAGACTCATCAAAATCAAGACATTTCACTGAAGAAAGGGAAAGATTTCATCTCTACGTGAAAACTTCCAAGAATCCAATATAAGTGCACATCTTATTGTAATTTCTACGCTTTAAAATGGTTAACATAAGGGTGATACATGAAAGTAAGAAGGACCAGAATTGAAAGTCTTATCTAAAATAAAGCAACAACTCCATTTAGCTTCATATCATCATTGCTATATAGCAGAGGTGGGCAAACTACGGCCCGCGGGACTGTCCTGCCTGGCCCCTGAGCTCCCGGTCGGGGAGGCTAGCCCCCGGCCCCTCCCCTGCTGTCCCTCCTCCCCCGCAGCCAGCGCTCTGGCCCGCCGCTCCTGCCAGGCAGTGTGGGTGGCAGGGCTGTGAGCTCCTGCTGCTCTGAGCAGCGTGGTAAGTGGGCGGGGAGCAGGGGGGATTGGATAAGGGGCAGGGAGTCCCAGGGGGGGGGCAGTCAGGGGACAGGGAGCGGGGGGGCTGGATGGGGGAGGGATCCTGGGGGTGGGGGACCCAGGAAGGGACCGTCAGGGGTCAAGGAGCAGGGGGGGTTGGATGGGTCAGGGGTTCTGAGGGGGGCAGTCAGGGGGTGGGAAGTGAGAGGAGGCGGATAGTGGACAGGGGCCAGGCTGTTTGGGGAGGCACAGCCTTCCCTACCTGACCCTCCATATAGTTTCGCAACCACAATGTGGCCATTGGGCCAAAAAGTTTGCCCATCCCTGCTATATAGTCTTATCATCAGTACTGCTGAGGAGCAGCCCTATATATTTAGTAAATGAACTGTATAACTATAAGCAATATCAGGCATACAGCTAGCCAGTTGTGCCCTAGTAATCTAGACATGCCCTCTTGGTGGAATGCCAGGGTCTGAGGGACCTGGCGTGAAGCCTTCCCATAAACCCCATACGGGGGGGGAGAAACGGCCACATGTCTAGCACTTGGGGTGGAAAAAAGTGGCTCAAAGGATGGAATCTAGGGTTACCATCCGTCCGGGTTTCCCCGGACATGTCCGGCTTTTGGGTCTTTAAATAGCCGTCCGGGGGGAACTTGTAAAAAGCTAAAAATGTCCGGGATTTCCCCCCGGACGGCTATCTAAAGACCCAAAAGCGGCTGACAGGGCAGCCGCGCCGGATTGAGCCGCTCCGGCAGCAAAAGCCCCTCCCCCGCTTCCCCCTCCCTCCCCTGCAGCTTCAGCACGCCGGTAGCAAAATGGGAGCAGGAGCTGTTTGTGCCGCTACAAACTAGAGTGGCCCAGAAAGTCACCCCCCTGCCCATGGCAGCCGGCCCTGATTGGCCAGCCCCGCTCCCTCCCCCGCGCTGGGGGCGAGTCAAGAAACAGGGAGCAGGAGGGTTGGATGGGGTGAGGGTTCTGGGGGGACCTGTCAGGGGGCAGGGGTGTGAAGAGGGATTGGGGCAGTCAGGGGACAGGGAGCAGGGGGAGGGTTGGATGGGTCAGGGGTTCTGGGGGGACCTGTCAGGGGGCAGGGGTGTGGAGAGGGATTGGGGCAGTCAGGGGACAGGGAGGGTTAGA